AGTATTCACCACTGAGGCCGGTCCGCAGACCAGGGACAGCGCGGCTGGCTCCCGGGAGGAGGAGGCACCCAGCCGGGCCGGGGTGGTTCTGCCGACCCATCAGTCAGCACAGAAGACTTTGCAGCGAGGTGGGCGGGGAAGTGGCTGGGCAGCAGGGTAGGCCTAGAGGATGCGGCACGGAGGGACAGAGCCCAGGCAGCTGAGGTGCTAGCAGAGGTGGGGTAGGGGAGGCAGGGGGATCAGGAAGGCTCCAGACCCTGGGACGCACGGGCCAAGCATGGGAGAGCCTAGGGCAGGGCTTGGAAAGCTACAGGGCCAGCGAGGGACCCAGGGACTCTGGGCTGCCAGAGTCTTTCCGGCCTACACACATGCTCCCTTGGTCACCCCCTCAGTCACCCCTCCCCGCCCCTGTAGCCAACCTGCACTGCCGTTGGGCAGGGCTGCCGGCTAGTACCGACTCAGGTCCCAGGTCCCACGTGTGCACTGTGAGCTGACAACTGAGCATGCCCAACCTTGCCCTTTACAGAAAATGATGAAGGACAACAACCTGGTGCGCCACCTGGATGCCTGCGAGACCATGGGCAACGCCACGGCCATCTGCTCCGACAAGACAGGGACGCTCACCACCAACCGCATGACCGTGGTCCAGTCCTACCTAGGGGACACCCACTACAAAGAGGTTCCAGCGCCCAGCGCCCTCAACCCCAAGATCCTCGACCTCCTGGTCCACGCCGTCTCCATCAACAGTGCCTACACCACCAAAATACTAGTGAGCAGGGTGCCGGCGGGGAGGGCCGGGCAGGGCGCAGCAGCGACTTTAGACCTGAGGCTCCGGGGTGCTGGTCACTCCCCTCCCCACCTAGTCCGCACGGGAGGCCTCTGCTGGAGCCCCAGGGCGGCACGCAGCGGGTCTGGGCCCGGTGCCATGCTGGCTCTCCCGGCCTTGCCGCCTCCAGAGAAGGAAGGCGCCCTCCCACGCCAAGTGGGCAATAAGACCGAGTGTGCCCTGCTGGGCTTCATCCTGGATCTGAAGCGAGACTTCCAGCCCGTGCGGGAACAGATTCCCGAGGACAAGCTTTACAAAGTGTACACCTTCAACTCGGTCCGCAAGTCCATGAGCACAGTCATCCGCGGGCCCGATGGCGGCTTCCGCCTCTTCAGTAAGGGCGCCTCGGAGATCCTGCTCAAAAAGTGAGTGGCCCTTGGGGCTGCGGGTGGCGTGGTAGCTATGGGCACTGAGCTCCCACATGGCCAACCACGGTTCAAGTCCTGGGCCTGGTGACTTGCTTTCTCACTTTCTCTCTCTCTCTCTCTTGCTATGTCACTCTGGTCAAATTAAAATATGTGAACGAATAAAGAAGATTAAATAAATAGCTCTATTATAAAATAAAATAAATAAAGTTAAATAAAATAATTCTTAAAAAAAAAAAGCGGAAGCGGCCCACAGGAAGTGGCCACTGAGTGGGGTGGGGGTTGCTCAGGGCCACCCATCAGGAGCCTCTCTCATCAAGGTCGTGGTAAGATAGGCCCAGCAGAGACTGCTTCTCTTAACCACTTTACAGCTTACAGCCTGGCAGCTTACCCCCCATCTAGCTCCAGAAGCTTTCATCAGCCCCGCATAACGCAGCCAGTCCCCACCCCATACCCAGCCTGGAAACCACTGATCTATTTTCATTCTCTCTCTCGGTTTTTTTTTGTTTGTTTGATTTTGGTTTTTGGTTTTTTTGGTTTTGAGATAGGTTTTTGCTGTAGGGTGCGTGCGTTCACCAGAAAGCCAGAGAGAGACAGAGAGACAGAAAACGAGACATCACTATCCAGGGGGATGGCCACATTGCAATCCCTTCTCCTCCATTTTCCTCTCGGGATCTTGGGCACGCACGCGCGCCCAGCATGAGTTTAAGCCACCAGGTCCGGGACGTGAACCACGATCGACTTTGTGGGAGTCCAGTGACATAGACATTATGCTAACTGCTGGCTCCAACTACTGATCTATTTTCTAAAACTCTCTATGATTCAACCAGGTATGACAGCTTCATTCTTTTGGTGTGACTGAGTGCCATTCAATAACAATCATGCACAATAGAGATAGAACACATTTGCCCACCTGCTCATCCATCGTGCAGTTGTCAGCCGTGCTGCTGTGGACGCTTGTGTACGGTTTTCCTCCGGACGCGTGTTCTCATCCTTCCGGATGTGTCCCTGCGAGTGGAATCGCTGGGCTACGAGCTGACTCCGTGTTTAACTGGTTTCCCCAGCGGCCGCGCCATGTCCTGCCCCCGCCCCAGCGCAGGGCACTGCTGCCTGTCCTCAGCCTCGCGGTTGCCGCGCCTCTGGTTGGGTGCCATGCATGCCGGCCGGTGAGCGTTCGGCGCATCTCGCGGGTTTGAGTCTGCGCTTCCCTGGTGCTCAGTGGCCATTGGTCGCGATCTGTGGAGCAGCGTCTGTCCTGTCTTTTGCCCATGTTTTAGTTAGGTTGTTTGTCTTTCTCTTATTGAGCTGTAACAGCTCTTCATGGGCCGTCATCGGGGAAGTCATGACAAATGTTTCTGTTTTTCATGCAAAAATGCATTATGACTTTCCTGACGACCCAGTATGTCCTGGAGACTAGATTCTTATGAGACATGTGATTTGTAAGTCTTTTCCCGCATGCTGTGGGTGGGGACGGGGGACACCACCGTTTCGATAGTGCCCGTAGGTGCTTACCAGACTCGATTTGGTTTCCTCTGTGGCTTACGCGGGGTTTCTTTTAGAAGGGACGGAAATGTCGGGAAGCCAGTCGTGGCGGTGGTTATACATGTTTGTGAATATACAGGTCGGACACCCCTCATCCAAAACCCCAAACTATGCAATGGTCTGAAATACGAACCTCTCTTGCACCGTATTATTCTTTTTAATGGCCAGAGAGAGGGAGAGGGAAAAAGCACCCCCAACTGGGGCATGGTCACGCCAAAACCCCTTCTCTTCCACTTCTCCATCCTGTCAGGATTGGGGGCACACACGCACACGTACCCAGTGTGTTCCTCAGGCCACCAGGCCTGGGATTTGGGTAGTAGTCAGCCCTGTGGGATCTGGCTCCCTTAACTACTAGGTTATGGGGCTGACCCCTGAAATCTGAAACTTTGTGAGTGCCGACATGACAAGTGGAAATTCCATGCCTGACCTCATGTGGCAGGTTGCAGTCGAAATGCTGCAATACAAAAATATAGTAAAACATGATGTTCAGGCTATGTGTATAAGGTATCTATGAAACATAAATTACTTTTGTGCTTCGACTTGGGTCCTGTCCCCAAGAGATCTCATTACATATGTACCAATATTCCAAAGTCTGAGAAAGTCTGAAATGAAAACACTTCTGGTTTCCAGCTTTCCCAGTAAGGGATGCGCAACCTATTGTAAAAGCCACTGAATGGCACACTTCCAAGGGGCCAGCTGTGCGCGAATTACGGCTCAGTGAAGTCATTTTTAAAAGCGACGGGCAGGGGACCAGCAGTTAGCGTAATGGCTATGTCGCTGGACTCCCACGTAGTCGACCGCGGTTCGCGTCCCGG